GGCTCAATTTTATAAATAACAATATCAATGTGCCTCCTCTGTCTACGTCTTCTGGTCTGGACATAAAGCGGATGCAGCAATTTTTACGGAAAAGATCCACCCCTCCCCCTCCCCCCCCTATTAAGAGCTTGCGCTCACCATAAGCTTCGTGAAAGCATCTTCGATCGTCGGCATCGCAGTTGTAGGAATATCGGTGGCAGCACTAGCCATTGCAGCTAATCGCTCCGCTTTTTCGCGATCGTTCGACATCTTTTGATCCTAGAATTAAGATAGAAATAGTTCTACTCGTTAACAGAAGATAAATCCCTTTTTTAAGTGTCAATATATACAAATAATGAATTATACCGACTTGCAAGGGTTTCCCTTTGTTACTTCTCTTCTTCACAAAAAGTAATAAATTCGAGCAAAAAATTTAAATAAAGAAAAAGAGCATCGCTTACATATTGCACAATGGCCACACCACCAAACAGGAAGAACAATGAGATCCATTGTTGAATGGACAATTTCCGATGCAGCACTAACACTGTGAAAACGGCAGTAGTCAGAATTTTTAATTGATAAGTTACCTAAATTGTACTTTAGTTATTGAGCGATTGAAAAGCAAATTTTAGGAATCTTTAAAAACTTTACCATATAAGTAGCTGCAGGTAGATTCTCAACAGCAACATATAAAAGGAAGTTTTGGATTGTATAGATGACAGCTGGTACTAGCACTTTTAAGGCATCTCGCCAGTGATTTACGAATTGATCATAGATTTGAGTTAAACCTCTGCAAATAAACTTATTTAAAAGTTTCATAACATGGAAATGGAAAACCCCTGTACACTTACTTTCTAATACTTCGCTCTTGTAAGCAGACTAATATAACACTGGCTGTGAATTTAAGAATTTCAGCAAAAAACACGGAAATTGCCTGAAACAAAAAGTATGTACATATGATATTGAAATGCAGATAAAGGTATTACATGAGTTTTTAATCTGGTTTTTCATAAGGTATACATAAATTTTTTTACTTCATTTTTCAATTTTCTAAAGATTATCAAAATATCTTCTGGATGTTGTCATTCAATGCAGCATTATTGTTTTAATTTAGTATTCATAATTATTATTTATGTTCATATCAATATATGAAGTTAATAAGTTAAAGTTTAAGATGTCGGGCAATTTTCAATGTTTTTCCGCATCATAATGTTCTACTGTAGAGTTTCAGTGAGTCAGGTTTAGCTCTGACTTTATGTCTGAAGACAAGTTTACCAGGTTATCCTAATAATTTTTAATTTATCATAAATTTAATTTAGATGTAGCACATGCAAACTAATCATAGTTATTTTAGCTCTGATTCTGAGAGTGTCAAACTTCAAAAATACATGGATTTCCAAAAGTCCTGGTGTACTTTCCCATAAAAAATCGTTGCGTGGCAAAATCTAGGCATCTTATACATTATTAGTCA